ACCGCTTACCATTTCCCCAATTGTGACCCCACCTGTTAAGACTCCTCCGTTCTGAACCCGCCCATTAACATTCCCCTTTTTCCTGACCCCGCCCTTTCACCTTCCTCCCCTCATTTTGATCCCACTCTTTGACATTTGCCCTCATTCTGACCTCACACTTTACAATTCCCTCCCCATCTGACCTTACTAGCTATTGGTCCCCTTCATTTTGACCTCTTCATAACACCCTCCATCATTCTCTCCTCTTCTGACCACACCCTTTAACACTTTCCCTCATTCTGACCTCACTCTTTGACTCTGTCTTCCCCTTTTCTCCCTTTACATATTCTGCAATATCCCCCCTCCCTTTCCAGACCTTGCGGTTTAATACTCCCCTTACTAGGGGTGAAACGATAACAATAACGGTGACAATACATTTTTTTCGAGAAATATTTTTGTCGTCAAGTAGTCCTTCGATCTCATATGACCTAATGTAAGAGCCTGCAATAACGCAGTTTGACCAGTGTGAGGCTGTAGCGATTATATAGCGATGTGGATGACTACACAAGTTCTGCAGCTCAGTAATCTAAAGTCCAGTCACGTTTATTTATATAGCACTTTGTGCAATAGATAGCCTTAAATCAAGCATTAGGGTTAAATCAAGAACGTCTCTCTTGTCTGTCATCACATTTTGTGTGCCAAATGTATGTATTTGTATTGTAAAAAAATGTATTGTATAATAATTGTAATTACATAATAGTAATATGATTTTCAAAAGCTGAAGTGATTACCTTATTATATTTATTTGCTAGAATATGTTTAACTCAATATTTTAACTAATTGAAAAAGCTGAACAATCAATCAAATAATTGAATAGTATTAGTACTATTAAATAATAATAGTTAGATTAATCGATTATCAAAACAATCGTTTGTTGCAGCCCTACCCCTTTACTTTGCTTACTTCGCCCTTTATCACTCCCTTACTCCACCCCTATCTGACTTCGCCTTTTAAGACTCCCTCTTTCTCTTGACCCTGCCTTTTTATATCCCTCACCTTTCTGAATCTCCCTCAAACAGCCACTTTTCCAAGTGGGTTTCTTTTTCATTCCTGTAAGCCTTTCCTTTTAAATATCAGCTGCAACTGGAAGTCCAACCGTCTCACCTCACTCATGATTAGGCAGTGATTGATATTTAGCAGCATGCTGAGGTAATTTCTTCATTCAAATACTCTGTGGTCCAAGGTTAACTATACTAGTGGCACGGTCAGGACCTGCAGTGGCACCAGCGTCGCCCTCTGCTCAGACTCTGATTTTTCCTGTCTTAGCAGGGTCTTAGCAGTTGACTTGGCAACGCTGCAGATATTTGTGACTGCACTGAGAGATTAAGTGGCCAATCAACCCAACCATGCACTGCAATCATTCTACCTTATAATGTGGGCAGACTCCTGATGCCAAATCAGTTTGCCCTGCATTTATACTTCTGAAACCAGAGGAATGGTGTTGAAAACGTGAAGCATGCAGACAAAGCGTTCGGGTGAGAAGGTACGCGCAGGGCATGGCTTTGTAAATTTCCTATGCATTCTTTTAACTAGGAATGAAGTTAGGAAAGCACTGGGGGGGACTATGATCCCATGATTGATGGATATTTTGGGGTGACTTAATAAGTCTTGCTTCGTACCTGGATCTCATATTACTGCTCCAATGTTATATTGACTTTCACAGAGCATGCAGGTAAATCCCTGCAGGGAGTGTGTGTGCATGTGTGTGAGTGTGCCATTATTTAGAGATGTGAAGAGGCATAGGGATGTGGGCAACAAGGCATGCAGCCTGGATGACGGTTCAATTTTTCATTTAAGAGGTGGTGGAGAAGGGTAGCCTGCAAGTTATTGTTCATATTTGCCTGGGGCATCACACTGCTATGGTTGGCTCTTCCTACGGAATATTCCATCTGTGCCAGAAATGCCTTCCACCCACCGGAGTCTCCCTGTCCTTCTATTCCACTCCAAAGGTGAACCTTATCTCACTCACTCTTTCTGCCACTCTTTGTTGATCGCTTTCTTTCTTTACAGCTTGTTTGTTTCAATACAGCCTTAAAAGCTCAAATTTGATTTGATTTTTTTTTGAAAAAAATCTCCCCCAAATCCTCATAAATGTAATGTGTTTGCATCTGGGTCAGAAGTTTACAAGAGGTTTGGGCAAAAATGCCTTAAATGTAAAAATCTGAATTCATTCTTCAGAGTGATTTCATACGTTTATTAATCTTTCTGTGTCTGTTCGATATATGTTATAAATTATATTTATTCATTCATTCATTGCAATTCTAATTATATTCTAATGACTGTAATGAAGTCATTTAAATAATTAGAATGAATATTTTTTTCTTCATTTTGATTTCGAGGTGGTATGCTATTGTCAGATTTACTCTTAAATTGAATAACATTTGTAATTATTATTATCAAGCAATATTTTTTCTTTAAAATGAAACCTTGAAAGAAATACCAAAATATTCTGTAAATTAAGTGTTAAAAATGTGGATACAATTTTCAGAAGACTGGGTTTTAGGCAGAAATGATATGAAGAGTTCATTTGCAAATACCGATAAACGGCACTTTAAAAAAAAAAGAGCCGATTGCCGTGCATTATTCTCCACATATAGCGCGATCTGAACCCTAAACACGTTTTGTCAAAAAAAGCCGGTTTTGTCGACTTTCAAGGCATCGCGAGTTCACGTTTTACTGCAGAAGCTGACAAGCGCCCTTGTTGTTTTTGAACAGAAGCCGATAAGTC